ACAAATATCATCTTTATGAGTCAAGAATCTTAACTCTGGAACACGTCACGGAATACTGGAACACGTCACGGAACTCTGGAACACGTCACGGAACTCTGGAGCACGTCACGGAACTCTGGAACACGTTACGGAATACTGGAACACGTCACGAAACTCTGGAACACGTCACGGAACTCTGGAACACGTCACGGAATACTGGAACACGTCACGAAACTCTGGAACACGTCACGGAGCTCTGGAACACGTCACGGAACACAACCTCTTATCGGCATGATGTCAAAAAGTTCACATACAAATTTGAAAAAAAAAATCCTCCATCTCTACTTCAGCTACTCGCGGAAAAGTGGCTACAGCGCTCTAGTTCACCACCTGAGTTGAATGTGGTTCGAATCCTCACGCGTAATAAAGCCATCTGTACACCCTCCTGCCAGCCAGACTGAAGTGTACCATTATCTAACCCTCGTATCTTCCACAAAGTTAAACAACACCCTTATATTTTTGTTTATATAAGAGAGAAAGTTGTGTTCCACTTAGGAGCGCTTAAGTGAACAGATCTACCCAGTGGACTACCAAAATAGCCCCCTCTTCCAACTATATAAACAAATGAAAATTTTTTTTACATTCCCCTTTTAAAACTAAGACTCACCAAACCTTTTACTCTCACAATGTTAAATCCCAAAGCACCGTAACCTAACCGTGGTCGTTTGGTTAGTTTGGGTGCACCACTGACCCACACTACCAGCGCCACAGGTCTTCGTTAACCCTGGCAAACAAAGGGGCCGAATTCTCTCCCAAGATTTACGATGGTCCGAGACTTCAAGAATACATCGGGCGGGCAAAACACACAGGGGAGGGGGGGAAGAGTTGTGTGTGTGTGTGTGTGTGTGTGTGTGTGTGTGTGTGTGTGTGTGTGTTAATTGATCAAATATTTACTGACCGCTAGACAGATATATTGACCAATAGGAAGATGATATACTGACCGACAGATAGACAGACACATAAGATATAGTGACCGATCGAGATACGATTTAAATTTAGTCTCCACACAGAGAGAGAGAGAGAGAGAGAGAGAGAGAGAGAGAGAGAGAGACTCGCTTAACATCTCCTCCGTCTGTCTCTCTCTCTCGGACGAACATTATTTTCCAGGCCAAAATAATGTGGTAATTATTCTTCTGGAATAATTGGTGTTGATTATATTATGTTAGTGGTCATTACGGCTTAATGGGTGACCTACCTGTGGTAATGGATGGAAGACCTAACTCGTTAATTAGTGAATGAGTCTCGTAATTAGTGGGTGACGTACCTGTCTAGCAATTAGTGGATGACATACCTGTCTAGCTATTAGTGGATGACCTACCTGTGTAATAATTAGAGTATGATTTACCTAACTATTAATCAGTAGACGATCTACTTGTCTTATAATTTGTGGGTGACTTACCTGTCTCGTAATTAGTGGGTGACTTGAGAGAATGGATGCCTAGGTCAATAATGAATGGATGACCTAATGACGTCACTGCAGTAATAAACCTGATGACGTCACTAGTAAAGAACGGATGACCTCATAGTATAAACACTGGGTGAGGTCACTACAGATCAATTTTCCGGGTATTAAAGTAGGCCAATCAAATGAATGAGGACACAAAACCTGCAAAACGAGTCGAGGCAAGATAATGTTATGACGTGTATGTGTGTGTGTGGGGGGGGGGGGTTCTCTTTCTCCTCATAAAACTACCACCAATAAAAATAATTGATAGTTCACCGGGTGCTGTTATATATAACCTAACTTTTCCTACCTCAACTTAACCTAACCTAACCTCAAAAGCTCTTCATGACACACACCTGTACTACCACAATTCCAGCAGATGAGTCCAACAGGTGTGCCCAACAGGCGAGTCCAACAGGCGAGTCCAACAGGCGAGTCCAACAGAATGCCCTCCTCATTAACAACAGTACTGGCTTGTTACAGGAAACCTAATACTATAAAACTGCCTCATGACTTCCCCTCTCCCCCCCCCCATCTCTCTGTTGCATATATAGGTTGCCGGTTCCCGTGATAATAAAGTCAATGGAGATCATTATTGGTGGCGCCAGGGGGGTTATTCACGCACCTTCATTAAATCACAACACGTCGCTTTTATCACACTAATAAAGTGACCTCGACTCATTATTGGTTTTATTTAGTGTTAATGTTGTATTGGTGTTCATGCCGTCACCATCATAATCATCATCATCATCATCATCATCATCATCATCATCATCATCATCAACCCTAGAGGTAAAGGTCAAAGAAGGTCAAGAGTTCATTAGGATTACAAAACAAGTACAAGACGTGTTGTTGTTGACTCTGCCCACCGTTCTTCCAAGACCTTAGCAAGAAATGACCCAAGCTAAGCAGGGTGATGATGGCTGCTCCTTGTTCTTGATACTAAAATAATTCACACACACACACACGATAAAATGAGTGAGTGTAACTGAGTATACTTGTGTGCATTTGTACAATATAATGACGACGTGTACTGATATACCCACGTCGACTTCATTACAAAACTAAACACTAATAACCACACACCATATCAACAACACCTTTTTGATCCTTGTTCGCCTTCTGTCTTAGGTCAACCCGTTATGTGTACTGTACTATTCGTCATGGGAAGATACAGACTCCGGAGCCAGGATTGTGCCTAGAATGGTGAGGGTAAACACTGCCGCAGCGTCCCCCCACACAGCTGATCTACCTTTGTTTACACGCGCATTGTGACCCGTAGCGATGGAATTCCCTACGAGATAGATAGCCAAGATAGACAAAAAAGAGTAGCATGCCCACCTGTATTAAGGATATGTTTTAATTAAAGTATATCGGGCATATAATTCAGGTGTCAGGTGGAGAGGGCTGGCAGGTGTACGTCAGGTGGAGAGGGCTGACAGCTGTACGTCAGGTGGAGAGGGCTGGCAGGGGTGCATCAGGTGGAGAGGGCTGGCAGTTTTGCTATTTTCACTCGCTATTGCACACACGCACACACACACACACACACACACACATAAAAAAAAATGAAATGACGAAAAATTTTGAACGCATCTAATTGATTCACTGTAGTTACGACATAAAAGGTAGATTCTCCACAATAATACGTTAAATACTTCTCAGCTCCCTTAACTAGGAATACAACAGCGAATCTCAGTATGTATATTAAAGTTACGTTACACAGACAGGAGCCAAAATGCCGTCGAAACTCCCCGGAGAGACTCTCGTTACTATGTACTTCCATTGTCCAGTTAACTACCGTGGGGATCCTTTAAGAAAACGGACCTGGACTCCCCATTCATTTAACTACACCTACCTGTCGCAACCTAGTTCTCACTCTCTGTCACAACCTACGCAGTTCCCACTCCCTAACACCTCCCTGTCACACCCTAAGCAGTTCCCACTCTCTAACACCTCCCTGTTACACCCTAAGCAGTTCCCACTCTCTAACACCTCCCTATCGCACCCTAGTTCCCCCTACCTATCATACCCTAGTCCCCTCCCCTACCACGTCCCCATAACTTAAGACAATCTCTTAAAATAAGGGCTTCAAGGCTCATGACCCCCTACCCCCCCTTCCCGTCTCCGCATCTACTGTCAAGACAACCTTCTGTGACGTCAGCTGGTGGTCGATTCTCGTTTCTGTTCAACCTGGGCTACGACATGACGTCACTACCATGGGAGGGGCTACCTTAATTAGCATTCAGGTGGGAGGAGTAAATGGAGTAAAGCTATAAACCGAAAGTGTAGCGCACCATCTATTTCTACCTTATAATTAATCTTGAATAGCTGATCCTAATGTCGGGTTACCTACTGAAGGAATATGACGACGCCCTGTTGACCGCCCGGACTGGTGATGTCTTTGAGGAACGAGACACTATTGATCGAGGTAATTACCAACGTGGTCGTCAGAGGTTAGTAATATTCTCGGTATTTTATAATGATAAAATTATCCTTTATCCAGATATAATATTTAACTATGTATTCCTTCAGGGGATAAGGTCATGAACTGAAAGTTAGCATGATACTACGTGCTTGTGTGTGTGTGTGTGTGTGTGTGTGTGTATGTGTGTGTGTGCACGAGTGAGTGTATGCGTGTGTTTTCAAACATGACATAACACTAAGTTTCTGGGCCAAATATATACCGTGAACGCCTTCTTTAAACACAAACACAAGTTCTAAAAAACAACACTATTTCAGCTCCCAACCCCCAGAGGCTCTTAAGACCAATATAAACAGTACCTCACTTTCTCTCTCTAGAAATTTACGTATTTTTTCAGGCATTCTTTTATCAAGAAAACTTTTAGATGTTGTATGTAAAGGTTCCTCATGATACTCCACAGGTACAAATACAGTCTTAATTATTCTGTATCTTTAACAATTATTCCTCGCCTTGGTAGTCATCAGTCAGTACAGGTCAAAAGATTCTTGTAAGAGTTTAATAGTGTAAGTGGTTTTTAATAAAAAGGCTTAAGTGTTTTGTTTTAGTACGCTTGATTATTATTGTTCTGATGTTTTAAGTAGTTATTACACAGATCGTCTTAAGTTTCTCAGTTAGTGTAAAGTAGTTTGTGGTTGGCGATCATCTTGCCAATATGTAAAACTTGAATATCACGAGGAATAGGACACTGTATGCGGGAGATGTGGTACATGACATGGCTTATGAGGGTTAAAAGTCTTCACTACTGCATAATTTAACCCAGTTTTTGATGCAGACTCAAGAGCATGGTAGGGAGAGGTATTTTATGGTAATCCGAGGCAAAGTTTTTGTGTTAGACATTGAAGCACGTGTAGGTGATAATGACCAGTGATGATATTACGAGAACATGATTACAAGGTTTTAATTACACCTTTGAATTGAGCGGTGTGTGTGTGTGTGTGTGCGTGTGTGTGTGTGTGTGTGTGTGTGTGTGTGTGTGTGTGTGTGTGTGTGTGTGTGTGTGTGTGTGTGTGTGTGTGGGAGGGGGGAGGCACTGACCGGAGTGGTTGGCTCTCTCGAAGATGACGTAGTCCCTGCCGACCTTGTGGAGGAAGTGGCCCATCTGGAGACCGCCAGGACCCGCCCCGATGATGCAGTAGTCATGGTGAGTGTCCCCCGCCGTCACCAGCGCCGAGCAGCAGCAGCACGAGAGCACCACCACTACCAACATGGGCAGGTAGACGAGGGGACAGCGTTGTCTGCTGGGCGGCTCACCAGAGGTGTAGCGCCCCCACCACCCTCCCATCACCCTCACGGGGCACAGCTGTTGGGCAGACAAGGTTAAGTTAGGTCAGTTATGTAGCTCCAGTGTGGTAGCTGTTGAGCGAGCACCACCGTCACACTATCAGGGAACAGTGGTACTCGCGAGCAACAGGTAGAGGGACCCCTGCTCTGGTAACAACTGTGGGTATAGACAAGATCATGTCAAGCACACACACACACACTACAAGACGGGGACAGTTTGTGTGTTAATCTGGGGTGTATCGCTACCTTCCTCACCACCTTTATTAACATAGGGAGAAGGGGGAGGATAGGAATGGTACTGTGAAGGGGAGAATAAGAGAGGGAAGAAGGAGGAATAAAAGGGAAGGGAAAAAAGAGAGGGCAAGGGGAGAGGAGAGGTGGTGTTCATCTCCCGGCAGCGACCATCGACTCGCTCACCTGCTCCTCCCTCCCCTCGCGTTCATCCACCTCCTGCCCCACCCTGCTGAAGGTTACGCCCGCCCACACCCACTCCAGCACCACCCACACATACACTCCAGCACCACCCACACCTACACATCCACTCCAGCAAAACCCACACCTACACATACACTCCTACACCACCCAAACTTACACCCACTCCAACACACTCACCAACGCCAACTCCAACACACTCACCAACGCCCACTCCAACACACTCACCAACGCCCACTCCAACACACTCACCAACGCCCACTCCAACACACTCATTAACGCCAACTCCAACACACTCACCAACGCTCACTCCAACACACTCACCAACGCCCACTCCAACACTCTTAGATCTACGCCCACACTCCCACCCAACACACTCCGCCCATCCATCTGACAGTCACTAGAGGCAAGTTGACAGGCAAGATTAACATTTAAATTGACTGAAGGAAAAGTTAGCATTGGAGGACCTCGGGTAGGTGTTTCCCCCTCCCCCTCCCCCCTCCTCCTCCCCCTCTCCCCCTCCTCCTCCTCCCCGGGCAACTTGACACCGAACTCAAGGAAGATTTACGATACCCTGAGCGATAACTGCAGAATGGGGCAAACCCGACACATGATTACAGAGCAAAATACGACGATATCCGGGACGATTGGTATTTCTGGATAGTCGACGAGAGATAACAAGAGATAGCTGAATGTGATAGCTACTGTAAATTCCGCTATCAGAACGGGTCAGCCTTACGAATCATGATATCTGAAGTAATTGGGGGGGGGGGATTCACAGGCGCGATAACCATTACTCTAGATAACCAGGTAAAAAATACGATACCTGGATGATAACCACATAACTCGGAGTGGGGAGAACGGAGGGGGGGGGGTAGAGTGGGTGATTGGAGGTAATTGAGGGTGAAATGGGAGGGTTCAGGTACTAGAAGTGGGTGAGGGTGTGTGGGTGAGGTGTGTGGGTGAGGGTGTGTGGGTGAGGTGAGTGAGGGTGTGTGGGTGAGGGTGGGTGAGGGTGTGTGGGTGAGGGTGGAATAAATAAATAAATAATGGGGAAAGGAAATACGTATTTAGGAACAGGAAACTACTGAGAGGTTATGTTAGGTTGGGTTAGGCTAGCAAATAGTGCCTCAAGCGAGAGAGAGTTGTGGTGGCGGAGGAGTTTGAATACTGCGTGTGTGTGTGTGTGTGTGTGTGTGTGTGTGTGTGTGTGTGTGTCAATATACCAAACACACACACATTAAAACACTACAATAAGAAAGTAATAAAACACAAAACAATAACAAACATCAAACACTATAGAACTTTACACCAACAAATTGAGCATAAACTCTACGGATCTCGCGCATCGCATTTCACTTACTGCACTTATTTTTTTGGAATAAGTTTTGAGTTACTTTTTATATACTTTTACTTTGAGATATCTTTAATTTTAGTTACTTATACTTTTACTAAATTATACTGTTACAAAATGACACACACACAGACGGACACACACACCCACACACACCCTAGCTCCCTGCGTCCACAAAGGTACACATATAACCGAGTGAAAACAAAATGCTATACAGTATACACACACACGCATATAACCACACGTATATATACACAACCAATCAGTCACACGAGCGTACATATATACATCGACACACTCAGCCACACATACCTAACACAAGTATCTGTTACACTGTGATCTGTTCCTGGAATTCTGGGAAGTGTGGAGAGAGAGAGAGAGAGAGAGAGAGAGAGAGAGATAGAGAGAGAGAGAGAGAGGGGAAATGAAGAGAAGGGAAGGGATAGAGAGGCACCCTGATGACTTTATATAACTACAAGTGATACCACACACACACACACACACACACACACACACAGACACACACACACACACTCTTCCACCTGACCTCCTTTCTCTCCCTCACGTTTCTACCTCTCAACTCTACCCCGTACCGTGAGTCTTCCTCCCTTACGTCCCTCCTCTCTACCTTAATCCAGCCTTACCCAACACCTCCTCCTCCCTACCCTAACCCTCCTCCTTCTTTGTCTTAACTACCAGAGGACAATTTGGACATTTAAAATAAAAAATAAGGTTAAATAATAGAGAAAGAAAAATCCTCTTGTAATCGAGTTGTAAATGGTTGTAACGGGTCTCCCACCATGTTATCCAAAACGGTGCATAAACTTGAGAACAATTTAGACCAGGTATTGAAAGATCTGGTAGAGAAACTTTATTATACAGCATATATAACTGGCTCACCCGCCGCCACCACGACCGAGTCAAGTAATAGGTCGGTACTAAATATAGAGCGGATTGTTGGAGTCAAAAGCTGAATATCCTCTTTCAGATCGTCGACTGTGAATATCTGTGAAAATGCCATTGAGGTGGGAGAAATCCTCGCTAGGCTTTACGTGGGTCACTCTAGGCTGACACATGGTCACTTAGTTGATGGCCAAAGAGCCCCGGCCAATATGTGAGGACTGTCTGTCTATAAAAAAAACTTGTTGGCCGTGTGTCACAGTGTGGGTAGGTTAGGTTAGGTTAAGAGCTTTTAAGTGTTATCGAAGAAGCGCATATAACAGTCGTTGTCACAGTTACAATATACAGTATATGTATTAATTTGATCAATACTTTTGTTATATAATTTTAAATAGAACATCTGTGCGTGTGTGTGTGTGTGTGTGTGTGTGTGTGTGTGTGTGTGTGGGTGTGTGTGTGTGTGTGTGTGTGGGTGTGTGGGTGTGTGGTGTGTGTGTGTGTGTGTGTGTGTGTGTGTGTGTGTGTGGATACCCTGATCCGGCCTAATGATGATAATGATGACAAAACACTACAGCCATCACACCGACCGTGAATGTTTCCACCACAAGACCCTGTTTTAATTAAAGCTGGTGTTGACGCGGGGGTTATCGGGCGGTGTGTGTGTGTGTGTGTGTGTGTGTGGGGGGAGCGGGGAGGTGTCTTCTACTGAGTGACCTGCTGCTGGTAAACACACGCCACAGAGGTCACAGGTCATAAACACTGTAAAAATTGACACTCACGTATAGTGTGTCAGGAAAAAGTCAAGGTGTGTGTGTGTGTGTGTGTGTGTGTGTGTGTGTGTGTGTGTGTGTGTGTGTGTGTGTGTTATGCTAAAAGGAAATAATACTGACACAGCGATAATTTCTACCTATTGTACTCAGGCGTAAATTTTGTTTTGTATATAAAGGCGGACACACATACAGTACAGAGATAAATTACAATACAAATTGTAACTCCATATTAACATTACTAACGTTACTTATCAACATGTAGAAACACTCACTTTGGTTATAGTGTTACGACGTCTTAAATATAATAACACAACAACACATCATGGCACAACACATCATGGCACAGCACAACACAACACAACCTAACATACCATATTTGAACTATTTCTTTTAAGTTATATAAGTAAAACCAAAACTTTTCCCGTTTTAAGATTTACACACATTAATACCGTACATGTCTTTTGTGCACGCACGCACGCACGCACACACACACACTAATAACGCACATGGCTTTTAATCAAACCACAGCAGCGTTTCACTAATACTGTAGACGAAGAATTAGCCAATCGTAAGCCCGCTATTGGCTGCTGGTTAATCCAATAACGCGACAGGGATTTAGTGGATTAATATGACCAGGATTATAAGGCGGGATTAACGGTATTGGCGGACTGGTCAGGAGAGAGGAGAGGAAAGAAGGGGAGAGAGGAAAGGGAGAGAGGAAAGAAGGGGGTAGAGAGAGAGAGAGAGAGAGAGAGAGAGAGAGAGAGAGAGAGAGAGAGAGAGAGAGAGAGTTTGTCCATGAGGAAAGTGTCTGCTGGGAAGTTATCTGTGCACTCCACCAACAACAACAACAACCAAGCGAGCGTCTATCTTGCACATGATAAACAATATGAAGTAATCAAGCCAGAGTCGAAACGCAACAAACTTTAATAGTGAACTACTTTCTATTCCTCTCTATTCATCAACTGAGAATCTATCTTTCATTTTATTAGTTACTGAATAATTAACACCGATATAGGAAATTAACTTACTGATATTTTAATTCCTCAAACGAGAATATTTTGTTTATTTTCTGAACACATTCATTTTAGTTATTCCTAACTTGCTGAATTACAATTTAATTTATATCACTGATATTAAAGAAGCTAGAATATTTTGTTTTATTATTTCTCTGATAATGAAAATAATGAAGCGAGGATTCATGTTTTAGTTACTTACTAATAAATAACAATGCAAAATTTATATATTTATTTATATTTTAAAAGCGAGTGAGTTTCCTCCATGAGCTTAACAATAGGAACTGGTCAAAGGAGAATCGTGTTCGTTTATTGTTCGTTAAGTCAAGCGAGCTTCTTATGCCCTTAACCTATGAACTTCATCGACCGAGTTAAGTTTTCCTTGGTCAAGCGAGACACTAAATATATTATCAAATCTAAAAATACAATCAAAAGAGGTTCCTAAACTCACAAATTGTTAATACTGTATAACCAAATGAGGGTCTTAATACCTCATTAACTGGAAAACTAATTAAACGAGCGTATATTTTTTCCTCACCGACCACCG